CTTGTTATTGTTGAAAGTATATTTTTTTTTCTAAACCCAATACTTTTATTTGGGACGGTGTTCTATTTAAACTGTTGGATAAATTTGTGGTTCTCAAGGGGGGTGGTTTTTTTTTTGATCCCCGTAAAAAGTGGATTTTTTTTCACTTTTCTCCTTTACTTTGGCAGCATGATCGGAAAATTTCCAAAAGGAACTTGTAATGCAAAGGTAAAATTAATACCAGAAAACATTGGGGGAATTTTACAAAATATAGATTTTGCCAGACCGTTTACTTTTACAAAAACAAACGTTGGGCAAATTGTCCCCTAACATTTTTAAAGTTAAATTGGGGAAAATTGGTGTACAAAAAACAAAAAAAGTGTTTACTTGTCCGACTTTTTTCTGGAGAACAAATATTTATGTTACTTGGTGCCAGACTTTTGTTCCCCAAAACAAATTTGTTTACTTGGGGCCAGGACGGGGGGTTTCGACAAAACCATATTTTTGTCTTGGTGCCGAAAGTTTCTCTAACAAAAAAATAATATTGTCTTGTGCCAAAATTTTCTCTAACAAAACCCCCTTTTTTGTACTTGGTGCCAACGGGTGTCTTACAAAACCCGTTAATTTGTACTTGGTGCCAGACCGGGGTTTTGAAAAAAAAGTAATATCCCTTTTTTTTGGTACAAATGTTAAAAACGGATATCTGTATTGGTGGACCGGGGGCCCCTTTAAAAAAAAGTAAATTTTTCTGATTGGCCAGACGGTTGTTTAAAAAAACCATATATACTGAATGGGCCCCAGAAAGGTTTGTCTTGGGACCCCAGTATATATGTAGTTGGGGCCCAAAAACCGGGTGCTTGAAAAAAAAAATTTTTTTTTTGGGACTTGGGCAAAGGGTTAAACTAACAAAACCATATAAGGGGTTTTTCCCGACGGGGGTTTAAAAAACATTTAAAATGTTGTACTTATACCAGATTAGAAGTTTTGTCAAAAAATTATTTTAAAGGCCCAAAATATTTTAAGCTGTTCGTTTTACAGTAAAAAAGCTGGGGGAGGAGGCAAAGGGGCCGAGAGAGAAAACGTTGGGCAGTCTACATCATGGGTGAAAGACATCTGTATGGGGTTTAAGAAAAAAGAACTGTTTAAAATTTTTCCCCCAACATGTTAAAAAACCTTTTTTTTTTTTTTTCAAAATCTGCTTCGGGAAAAATAAAATTTTATGAAAAAATATTAGGGAAATTTATTTTTTAAACATTTGTGAAGTTTAGGGAAATTTTTTTTGGGGTTATGTTTTTTTAAAAAAAAAAAAAATTTTTTTGGTTTTCCTTTTTTTTTTTTTTGGCACTAGTAAAAGCCACTGAGATGGGGTTTGGAAACAAAAATTCCCAAAAACTTCTGTTTTTAAAAATGTTTTCCCTCCCATAATTTTGGGGGAAAAAAATACAAAAAAATAAAATTAAAGGGTTTAAACAGTTGTAAAGCTAGGGGCCTTTTTATTTTCCCAGACAAAAAATTTTCAGTATTTTTGTATGCTGCTGCTGCAGGAAAGATGCTTGCTCTATAAACTGTAACTTGATTTTCCTTGCAAGTGCTTAACACAGACATTTAATGCTGTTTAAACTTTGTATTGCTATGGCCATCCTCCTTTTGACTTCTGTCAAACAGTCTCCATTGCTATTTATTATAGAGCCTAGATATTCAAAGTTTGTGGCATTTTCAGTTTTACCATCATTTTTGTTATTTTTCGGGTGGCCGCAATTTGTCTGAGGGCAATGTTTTGCTTTTTTTAACTTCAAGAACAAACATCCATTATATAGATAGGTTTAATTGTATGCAGCCTCTGTTTCCTTGCTTTTCAGGCTGACATACTCCGACTTCAAAAGAAACATCGATCCGACCATTAGGATAATTGTGGCCAATGTGAACCTTTTGTATCATCAAGTTAAAAGTTAGTTGCGTATCCTTTACAGGACGTCGCAGAACCAACCCTAACAGCCCCTGGCTGTTGTGTGGTTTCTCTAGGCAATTTACATCCAGTAGTTTGCCATTGCTTTCTGGACGGTCGGCTTTCTTGATACCACTGTCGAAACCAGCACAAGGCGCATGGCCCACAGCTGGGATCGAACCTGGCATCCCGGCATTACGAAGCGAAGCGTTCGCATCGACTTAGCCACAGAGCTGATGTATCATCAAGTAGGATGTGCCATTTAGTAGGACTCGAATGACTCATACTTGAACTTGTTTTGTCATTCAGTAGGAGATTCAGCCCATGGACTTTACTCATGTTCCAAATGAGTTGTCGACAGACATCATTTATGCAGTAGTGTGCTGATGAGTGCCAAAGGGTATGAGGACAATGCCTTTCTGGGGTGCTAGCTTCAAGATCCCCTGCCACTTTTTTTAGTCTGATATAGGCCATTATCCAGTATGCATGACATGGACATGCAGCAGGTATCTTGCGTGAGGTTTCATAAAACCAGCACTGATCATGCTTGTGCCTGAGGCAAGGTAAAGGTGACCCCTTAATATAGCACAATGGCCTTAACTTACTCTTATGCCTGTGACTGAAATCACCCACCTCTATGGGGATTATCAAAATCACAGGCCCCACACACACATACAAATCATAGACCAAACAACATTAGGCTATAGAAACCACAGACCAGAAAGACACTGGGCTGTGGTGATTATGGAAATAACAGACAAAACAAAAACAACAGACAGAACTTACTGTGAAGGTCACGAGCAGTAACTGGACGTGAGGAGCTCTTCTGACTGTGCGAAGCTCTTGCACTATTTGCTCTAGCTGGCCTAAATGAACTAACAGGACCAGGTCTTGTTATATGCAGCTGCTCTTCTTTCTTATTCAGATGATTCTGATGTCCAGGCTGAGATGAGGAGTGAGCGCCTTCCTGAGCCCACTTTGGTCGCCCAGCGTCAGCCATATCAGACAAAACATGCTGATAAATAAGACAAATATTAAACCACAACTTCAGACTGAAGCCTTCCTGAACCCATTTTGGTCGCCCAGTGTCAGCCATATCAGACAAAAAATGCTGTTAAATAAGACAAATATAATAGAACGACTTGGCGTGAGTTGGTTGAGGGCCTATGCTCCATTGGGGGATAGAAAGGCAGAAGAAGAAGAAGAAGACAAATATTAAACCATAACTTCAGACTGAAGCCTTCCTGAACCCATTTTGGTCGCCCAGTGTCAGCCATTTCAGAAATAACATGCAGATAAAAAAAGACAAAATTTAAACCATAACATAAGACTGAATTACGTGGTAGAAGAATAAAAAGTACTCATAAGACCTGAAGCAATTATTCAAATGTAAAATCATCTATGAGATTTGATAAAGTGAAAAAAGCAGGAAACCAAACATTAGATTTTTGAAATAGTGATATGGCTGCATAAGCCTCCATCATATCTGATGCACTAAAACAAATGTATCAGCACATATCAGACTTGAAACAAGTGTACGATCTCACACTCAATTTGATAAAGTAAGGCAAGTGTAAACTACACATTAGACTTGAAATAGTGATACAAGAGTGTAACTATCTATCAGTCTGATACACTGAAACAAAAATACAATTGTAAAACCACATATACTATCTGACAGGGTGATACAAGTGTTAAAAAAACAACCACATATCTGATCTGATAGAGTAACACCAGGGTAAACCTGCATATCCTGTCTGATAGGGTGATTCAATTGTAAAACTATAAATCCTATCTGATAGGGTGAAACAATTGTAAAACCACATATCCTATCTGATAGGGTGAAACAAGTGTAAAACCACATATCCCATCTGGCAGGGTGATACAAGTGTAATACCACATATCCCACCTGACAAGGTAATACAAGTGTAAAACATATATCTTAATTCATAGGATTATACAAATGTAAAACCACATATCCTATCCGACAGGGTAAAAAAAAAAAATAAAGCCTGTATACAAGTAAGAAATACTGCAGGGGGAAGCACTGCAGGCGCAACAATTCTTGGGCATCGAAATTGGAATGTTTTATATTTCTAGGTTCGCTGGCAATGTCCCACCACCCCGAGAGAAAGAAAGCACTTACAAGAAACATAGGTAAAGAAAAATATCTCTGTTTCCACTATCCAGAACCGTCACACTGGTAGCAAAATGTGAAAGTAATCATGCAAGCAAGTGATCGGAATAGGAGAAATGAGGGAATGGTTAAAGCATTGACAATAAGGAAAATTCTCTTTCTGGGAAATGTAAACTGAACCACTATCACAGCTGACCGCACACTCACACAATACCAAGTGACCACATTCTATCATTACTGACAACACACACATCATCACTTCTGACCACACAAATTATCACAATTGATGACATATTACTTCTGACCACATACACTATCTTAATTGACAACACCCCCCCCTCCTTCTTTCCCACACCATACACGCACACAAGCATGCACACACACTATCACAACTAACCACATATACATCATCAAAAACTAACCATACACACACAGTATTACAACAGACAATACACACATTATCACATTTGACTAAATATGCTCACACGATTACTCTAAACCACAATCACAGACCACAAGAAATTTGCAGACTAGGAAAAGATAACTCACAGTTAATGACTGAGACCTTGTTAGTGTGCTGAGCACATTGGGTCCTGTGTTGACCTTGCTGCGAGCATTCCTGATTAGTGCCTCTGTTAACTGTGCATACATTTTCTTCTGTCGGCTGAAACCATACTGTACCATTATTGTCATCAAATATATGCTTGTTCAGCACAAAATGATAAATTCTTTGTTTTATTTTAAATTCATTTTCATGATTTGATTTGATTCAAGAAATGACATCACATCACTCTGGGCACTCCCATAAGCGCTCCGTCCCCATCTTCAGCAGCCAGCGAAGAGTTCCGATACTAATGGTGCCAGTAGCATTCTGATTAAACGTTTGTCTTGCCTCTCCTCTGAGCCTTGAGCATCTACCAGAACCTCTCGTCACCCCCAACTGCATCAGTCCCACCAGACTGTGGTGATCGATCTGTTCCTCCTCACTGTACACGCTCTCCCACAAGGCACTAACCACGTCTGCCTTATCATGTATCAGTATTCCACCAAGCTGTGCAGAGCCAGCCAGTCTGTCCGTCTGTTCATTTCCCAACACACTGGCATAGCCTGGTGAAAAAATCCAGACAATGCTCCTCACCCGTGTCTTCCCTAGTGAGGCATGCCACTCTGCCTATCCTGATCTTCCTCAGCATGCTTTCTGAATCAGTTACAATCATGATGTGTGTGTGTGTCATGTTCTCTAGCCAGCAGAAAGCTGCAGTGATAGCGTCCACCTCCATTCTTAAGCTGGATGTTGTTGTTTCATATGCTAGGCTCTCCTGCACCAAATGTCGACCATTAACTTATGCTAAGAAACCCCAAGCACTTCTTTTGCCTCTTGACACTGAACCGTCTGTGTAAATGATCAAATCTTCTGAGCAAGCATTATCTTGAATTAATTGCTGAATTTCTACCTCTGTGGCACCTGCTGTCCAGTCTCTGCATTCCCGGCTCAGTGTAATTATGACCCTACACAAGTCTGACTGTTCAGGTGGCACTTTGACCCACTCCTCTCCTCACCTAATGTTCTCACGGGTGCAAACCTGTCTGATTGTATCTTCTGCCTGAGCCATCCATGACTTCCCTCTCATCAGCCGCTGACCCTTAACTGCACCCAGGGCTTTGTGCAAAGGGTGGTCTGTGTCTGCAGCTACCCTGAGATATGACTTCGCCTGCAGCACATTGTGCCTACCTGCAACAGTGGGCAAACCGAGGATGTATTGCATACACACCACTGAGGTATCTCTGGTAAATCTCTGGTAAAATTCATTTTCATAGTGTCTGTTCTATGGATGAGCATCTGCTGAGTACTCTTAAGTAAAATGAGCTCTAAGTTATGTGAACTAACATTTGTTTACTCTATGAACTAACATCTGTTTACCCTCTAAGTTATGTGAATTAACATCTATTTGCCCTCTAGTTATATGAACTAACATCTGTTTACCCTTTAAGTTTTGTGAACTAACATCTGTTTACCCTCTAAGTTTTGTGAACTAACATCTGTTTACCCTCTAAGTTTTGTGAACTAACATCTGTTTACCCTCTAGGTTTTGTGAACTAACATCTGTTTACCCTCTAAGTTTTGTGAACTAACATCTGTTTACCCTATGAACTAACATCTGTTTACCCTCTAAGTTATGTTAACCAACATCTGTTTACCCTCTAAGATATGAACAGCCATCTATTTATTACTTCCGGTTATATGAACTAACATCTGTTTAACCATTCCAAGTTATGTGACTAACATTTGTTTATTGTTTCATAATTAACTATCCTTATAGAACTAAGTTGTGTTTTCCACCTCAAGTTATATAAACTAACATCTGTTTACCACTCTGAAGTTATATGAGCTAACAAATGTTTACCATTTAGATGAACTAACTCTGCCCGGGCAAAATTTGGAGTTAAAAATCTACCTAAAGTATTTGAGGATCCTCACCTGTGCTACAGAACCTGTGCACTGTGCTGAGTTTCTTTGGACTCAGACTTGAGTTAGAAGAAGAACGGAGCACTTATGGGCTACTACCCGTGTGCCATGATGTTGATCCATTGTTCAAACCTCAAACCACTTCAAACCTCAAACTTCATATGACCTAACATTTGTTTACCACTCTAATTTTGCCCGTCTCTCTAGCGTAGTTGGCTAAACTGGATTGCGCGGTGAGCGGGTGACGAACTCCTTGTGGTCCGGGTTCACTCCCGGGGGTGGGCAGAAAAGCCACAAATCTCCCAGATTTACGGTATTTAAAATGGAATCAATGCCGAAAGGTTGCGATATCCATAATACCGAGCCTAAGGGTTAACAACTCATGGCTTCTGGATACTAAAACAAACAAACAAACCACTCTAATTAGTTGTATGAACTAACATCTGTTTACAACATCAAGCTATATAAACTGACATATTTTCACATCAATAACATATATCATCTAACATCTGTTTTCCACAGCCTTAGAGCTTACAATGTGGCAAGTATAGAATACAACTAATAACAAGATAAAAAGATAATACAGTATCAAAGAAACTCTACAACCATGTGATATGTCTGCGGCTGGGGTAGCAAGAATAGGAAGAAGCAGAACCTGATATCTACCTCAACATGTGGGGCAGAGAAGACAGAAGAGAATTTAAAATGTAGCAAGAAGACAAATATAACTTATAATGTAGCAAGAAGACAAAATAGAACTATAATGTAGAAAGAAGACAAATAGAGCTTATAATGTAGCAAGAAGACAAACAGAACTTATAATGTAGCAAGAAGACCAACAGAACTTAAAATGTAGCAAGAAGACAAATATAACTTATAATGTAGCAAGAAGACAAACAGAACTTATAATGTAGAAAGAAGACAAATAGAGCTTATAATGTAGCAAGAAGACAAACAGAACTTATAATGTAGCAAGAAGACCAACAGAACTTATAATGTAGCAAGAAGACAAATATAACTTATAATGTAGCAAGAAGACAAATACAACTTATAATGTAGCAAGATGACAAACATAACTTATAATGTAGCAAGAAGACAAGCAGAACTTATAATGTAGCAAGAAGACAAGCAGAACTTATAATGTAGCAAGAAGACAAACAGAACTTATAATGCAGCAAGAAGACAAACTGAACTTATAATGTAGCAAGAAGACAAACTGAACTTATAATGTAGCAAGAAGACCGACAGAACTTATAATGTAGCAAGAAGACCAACAGAAATTATAATGTAGCAAGAAGACAAACAGAACTTATATTGTAGCAATGAAGGAATAGCTTACAGTTTGGCAACCTGTTCAAGAACTTCATCATTGTTTAGATAGTTGAATCTCCAGGTGTCTTTCGGGACTGGATCAGAACCTCTCCATGGTGCTGGAATTGTAGCTTTCTTCGACTTATTACTGTTTTTTCCATCTAATTTGAGTTTCTCCATTTTTGAAACCGGAGGATTCTGAAAATATCAATAAATTCTTATATTCACATGTATTGTGGTCTCATTTTATCTGATATTCTGCTTGTGTATTCAGTGCTATTTCTCAATTTATATCATTATTCAGAATGTTTCACAATGACTGTGGCTATTGTGTTTTTGTAAATGGGACTAGTTATCAATCTAGATAAGACAGAATACATGATAATAACAAGACATGGAAAGGATTTAAACTCTGGCCACATAAAAGTCGATAACATGAAAATCAAATGAAGGGAAACAGATAAGTATTTGGGTGCAAACTTCAACTGCTTCAACATGCTGAGAGAAGAAATACAATCTAGAATACAATCTAGAAATAAAGTATACTGTGTCCTTCAACATCTGCTAAAGTCAAAGTCTCTATCTTGCAACATAAAGATCAAAATATATAAAATGATCAGATCAGTCAGTTTTTATGGCTCTGAAACTTGTAGCACAGCTAAAAGAGATGAAGGCTTATTATAGGTTTTCTGAAACAGAGTATTATGACGAATTTTTGGACCTATCAAAGATGCAAACAGTGGAAAATGGAGAGTGAGAAGCAACAACAAGATTCATAATATGTTTAAATCATCATTGATCATTGGCATCATGAGAGCTAATAGGTTAAAATGGCTAGGCATATCGAGAGAATGTCAGATGACAGAGAGGTAAAAATGTTATACACAAGGGAGAGATGAATGGTCGTAGACCACAAGGCAGACCAAGAAGACGATGAAGAGATAATGTCCAGAGAGACCTGCAAACACTTGGTGTTACCAACTGGAAAGAGAAGGCCAACCAGAGAGATGAGTGGAGGCGGGTGATATCTGCAGCAATGAACCTCAAGGGCTCGGAATGCTGAAGAAGAAGAAGAAGAAGTTTTTGTATCACAGTATAGTTGATTTATCTTTGTATCAGTCTAAAGCTGTCGTTTACTTGTATCACTCTATAATTGTCTATTTACTTGTATCACTGAATTCATTCATTCATTATCCTGTTGTACCATTATATGTCACATTGCACTTGTAGTTTTATTTCTCCATTCCATTCTATCCTGTGCAATCACTTTGATATCATGGATGGAATCCAGTCCAGCACCTTGGCCGCTCTCTCTCCAACGTTCATCTCAGGGTTTCTCTTGGACATTCTCGTTTCCTCAGTCTTATCTATTTCCTATTTCAGTGCCTGTTTGGTGATTGTTCTTTCGTATCTTCTCAGAATGTGTCCAATAGAGCGCCATCTTCTCTATCTTGTAACTGCTGATTCTGGTGGTTGCCTAGACAGTTCTCTAACTTCTTCACTCCTCCTGAATTCATCCCATTTTATGTTCATCATTTTCATCAGGCATATGCTTTCAAATGCATTTTACTTTTGTCCCATATCTTTGTCGGCTCTGTGGCTAAGTCGATGTGAATGCTTCGTAATGCCGGGATGCCGGGTTCAATCCCAGCTGCGGGCCATGCGCCTTGTGTTGGTTTCCACAGTGGTATCAAGAAAGCCGACCATCCAGAAAGCAATGGCAAACTACTGGACGTAAATTTGCCTAGAAAAACCCCTGATGTTGGGGTTGGTTCTGCAACGTCCTGTAAAGGATACGCAACTAACCTTTCCATGTCTTTAGTGGTTTTGAAACTTTCACTGGCATATGCTAAAACTTAAATAACATTAGAACTGAAAATACGTAACTTGGTTCTAAAACTACACAGAGTTCCATATTTTGTTCAAGCTTTTAAGAGGTGCTGATTCTTTTCCAATGTAAGTCATGTTTTGTGTTTCTTGACTATCAATGTTACTACCTAAATAAGTAAATTAACCTGGTATTTTAATTCATTTTGTCTCTAGTGTTACATCTGCTTGATCTGTTGTTGGTGTCTTCAATATTTGTTTCTTTTCATAATTTATTTGTAGTCCAACCCTTGATGCTATATTTGCTTAATCATCTGTTTTCCTTTACATGCCATTGCTGTTTTTGCTTAGCAGAACAATATAGTCAGCAAAATCAAGATCTTCCAACTGTATGTTCTCCACTCAGTCTGTGCCGGTGTTTCCATTACATTTTTCCATCGCCCAGTCAATAGCAATACCAAATAACAGGGAAGATAAAATACATCCCTATTTTCATTCCAGTTTCAGTTGCAAACAAATCATTAAATTTTTTAGTGCCAGAAGGTTGTACAGGAAATGCCCATGTGTATACATAAACAACAGAACAAACCACGAGTCAATATCCTTCAGAAATGTGAAACGTAGAAAGGCAAATATTACATTTTAGGGGGGATTCATAGAAGAGATAGCCATATATCACATGCTATTTGGAACTGAAAGAGTTAAACCACTATGATAGGCCATACCAAACAGACATCTTATGTTAGGTCACACCACACAGTCAAGTTATGTTAGGCCACACCAAATACACATCACACAGCTCAGGCCTCATGGAAGTCATTCAATAGGCTATTCCACACAGGCATCTTATCTTAGGCCACACCACACAGGTGTCTTATGTTAGGCCACATTATACATGCATCTTATGTTATGTCACATCACACAGGCATCCTGTGTTAGGTCACACAACACATGCATCTTATGTTAGGTCACACAACACAGGTATCTTATGTTAGGTCACATTATACATGCATCTTATGTTAGGTCACACAACACATGCATCCTATGTTAGGTCACACAACAGATGCATCTTATGTTAGGTTACACAACACATGCATCTTATGATTGGTCACACAACACATGCATCTTATGTTAAGTTACACAACACATGCATCTTATGTTAGGTCACACAACACATGCATCTTAAGTTAGGTCACACAACACAGGAATCTTAAGTTAGGTCACACAACACATGCATCTTATGTTAGGTCACACAACACATGCATCTCAAGTTAGGTCACACAACACATGCATCCTATGTTAGGTCACATTATACATGCCTCTTATGTTAGGTCACATTATACATGCATCTTATGTTAGGTCACATTATACATGCATCTTATGTTAGGTCACATTATACATGCATCTTATGTTAGGTCACATTATACATGCATCTTATATTAGGTCACATTATACATGCATCTTATGTTAGGTCACATTATACATGCATCTTATGTTAGGTCACATTATACATGCATCTTATGTTAGGTCACATTATACATGCATCTTATGTTAGGTCACACAACACATGCATCTTATGTTAGGTCACGCAACACATGGATCTTATGTTAGGTTACATTATACATGCATCTTATGTTAGGTCACACAACACATGCATATTATGTTAGGTCACATTATACATGCATCTTATGTTAGGTCACATTATACATGCATCTTATGTTAGGTCACATTATACATGCATCTTATGTTGGGTCACACAACACATGCATCTTATGTTAGGTCACACAACACATGCATCTTATGTTAGGTCACATTATACATGCATCTTATGTTAGGTCACATCACACAGACATCCTATGTTAGGTCACACAACACATGCCTCTTATGTTAGGTCACACAACACAGGCATCTTAAGTTAGGTCACACAACACATGAATCTTATGTTAGCTCACATTATACATGCATCTTATGTTAGGTCACACAACATATGCATCCTATGTTAGGTCACACAACACATGCATCCTATGTTAGGTCACATTATACATGCATCTTATGTTAGGTCACACAACACATGCATCCTATGTTAGGTCACATTATACATGCATCTTATGTTAGGTCACATTATACATGCATCTTATGTTAGGTCACATTATACATGCATCTTATGTTAGGTCACATTATACATGCATCTTATGTTAGGTCACACAACACATGCATCTTATGTTAGGTCACATTATACATGCATCTTATGTTAGGTCACACAACACATGCATCTTATGTTAGGTCACACAACACAGGCATCTTAAGTTAGGTCACACAACACATGCATCTTATGTTAGGTCACATTATACATGCATCTTATGTTAGGTCACACAACACATGCATCCTATATTAGGTCACACAACACATGCATCTTATGTTAGGTTACACAACACATGCATCTTATGTTAGGTCACACAACACATGCATCTTATGTTAGGTTACACAACACATGCATCTTATGTTAGGTCACACAACACATGCATCTTAAGTTAGGTCAAACAACACAGGCATCTTATGTTAGGTCACACAACAAATACATCTTATGTTAGGTTACACAACACAGGCATCTTAAGTCAGGTCACACAACACATGCATCTTATGTTAGGTCACAAAACACATGCATCTTATGTTAGGTCACACAACACATGCATCTTATGTTAGGTCACACAACACATGCATCTTATGTTAGGTCACATCACACAGGCATCTTATGTTAGGCCACACAACACATGCATCTTATGTTAGGTCACACAACACAGGCATCTTAAGTTAGGTCACACAACACATGCATCTTATGTTAGGTCACATTATACATGCATCTTATGTTAGGTCACACAACACATGCATCCTATATTAGGTCACACAACACATGCATCTTATGTTAGGTCACACAACACATGCATCTTATGTTAGGTCATACAACACATGCATCTTATGTTAGGTCACACAACACATGCATCTTATGTTAGGTCACATCACACAGGCATCTTATGTTAGGCCACACAACAAATGCATCTTATGTTAGGCCACACAACAAATGCATCTTATGTTAGGCCACACAACAAATGCATCTTATGTTAGGTCAAACAACAAATGCATCTTATGTTAGGTCACAAAATACATGCATCCTATGTTAGGCCACATAACACATGCATCTTATGTTAGATTACACAACACATGCATCTTATGTTAGGTCACACCACACAGGCATCTTATGTTAGGTCACACAACACAGGCATCTTATGTTAGGTCACACAACACATGCATCTTATGTTAGGCCATATAACACATGCATCTTATGTAAGTCCATACAACCCAGGCACCATGGAAGATTTAATAAGCTACAGAACTCAGCGGTGCTCCAAGGTCTAAGCCAATGTGAAACGTGGATAGTCTTGTAACCTCTGCAGCCTCTGACAAAAATAGGAAACACTGTTCCAGTCACATCAATACATCTGGAAAGGAAAACATGACACAAAAGCAGCTTTAGAAGACATGACATACTCATAGTCACCTTGGGTAGTATCGCCTGCATTATTTTGAACTGCTCAGCGAAGTTCCTTTTCCAGACTCCATTCTCATAAGGGCTGGGGGTAAAGGTCAAGTACCAGCCAAAATGTAAACATCTGGGCATCCACAGCTGATCCAGCTCGGTCAAGTACCTCCAGTACCAGCAGACCTGTGAATGTTCATGTCCACACAGAAAGTAAAAGTCAACTATACCCACACTAGAGAACCAACATGGACTAGCAGCTAGACGCTCACCTGTGGATTGGTAGGTTGTAGGTTCGGGTCCTGGCGGAATGATCCTTTTTTTTTCAAAACGACCTTTGTTCTCAGCTCAGCCCAGCCTTGTGTGGGTATCTGGTAAAGCCGTGGGAAGTGAAGGTGGCTGGCATGATGCTGACCACATCACCCACCCAGTGCCAATTTGTCTGTAAAATATAGCTCTGGATCTGTTTGACCGCTGTGACTAAAGGCATGGAAAAGGTTCCTTTGCTTTACATACACTACTACATACAAGTTGACAGTTATACTGATATTACCACAGAAGTTGACAGTCAAGTATAGGCTGTCATGTTTGCCATCTCACATGATCACCATAATCACAGATCAGGTCAATGTTTTTCTCTCGCTCCAACCATCTGGCTAAACTAAGCTGGTATTTGTCTCTTTGCCTTCCACTTGCTTTCTTTCATCAATCTTGTCAGTTGTTACTAAGTTCCTGAATCCTTTTATTCTCACGTGTCCACACCCACACATACACACAAAAACAATTAGTATCTACATGTAACTGTTCTATAAATTTATTACTTTCATCTATCTTGAGGTGGACGGCTTCGTTTGTTTTTCTATCCTTCCCTGACATTCTTTGCATTCTCTTAACAACCACATCTCAACCAGGAGCAAATATTATTTTCTGCTAACTGTCTATATCTCAAATGCATAAAACAACATAGTTTCTACATAGCAACACTCTTTTTCCCACTGCAAGTGACATCTTTTAATTGGTGGGGATCTTTTTCATTTTGCTAAAGGCCATCTTTGCCACAGCAATTCATGTTCTAATTCTGCAAAGCATCTTGTGTCAGATGTTTTGATTGTTCCATTAACTCGCTTAAGAGATTTGTCATTTGCCTGAATTTGGTATTTCTTTACGAAATCATTACTATTCTTGGCATCTTTCAGTCACAAGGAATGCATCATACATTCATGTTCCCTCCTAGACGCCCAGTGAGCATAGGATGAACTGATTATATGTCTCTCTTTACTACTTGTTGAGTCTCTGATGCTAACCCCACCCCCTCGTTTCCTGAAGGACTGAAAGAGTTAAGAAGGTAGTTTGCCACTGTCTTCCTTCTTCATACTCCCATTACCAGACAGAAATTGGCAGTTAACTATACACCAACTAACAATCATACACTCACCAGTTCATGTTAGCTGTGTTGTATTAGAGGAATACATAAAAACTCAAACTACTTTTGAAGTGAAGATATCAGTAAACACAACTACAGCCTACCTTTGATGTGAAGAGAGAAGTAACCAGAATTACAGCCTACTTTTGATGTGAAGAGAGAAGTAACTAGAACTACAGCCTACTTTTGATGAGAAGATGAGTAACTAGAACTACAGCCTACCTTTGATGTGAAGACAGAAGTAACCAGAACTACAGCCTACCTTTGATGTGAAGAGAGAAGTAACCAGAACTAAAGCCTACCTTTGATGTGAAGACAGGAGTAACTACAACTACAGCCTACCTTTGATGTGGAGACAGGAGTAATTACAACTACAGCCTACCAGTTATATGAAGACAGGAGTAACTAAAACTACAGCCTAGTTCTGATGTGAAGACAGGAGTGACTAGAACTACAACCTACCTTTGATGTAAAGACAGGAGTAACTAGAACTACAGCCTATCTTTGATCTGAAGGCAGAAGTGACTAGAAATACAGCTTACATTTGATGTGAAGACAGGAGTAACGAGAACTACAGCTTACTTTTGATTTGAAGACAGGAGTAACTAGAACTATAGCCTACCTTAGATGTGAAGACAGAAGAAACTAAAACTACAGCCTAGCTTTGATGTGAAGATAGGAGTGACTAAAACAACAGCCTATCTTTCATGTGAAGTAGGAGTGACTTAAAACTACAACCTTTGAAAAGATATGAATAAAGACAACCTTTGAAAAGATATGAATAAAGAGAAATACAACCTACCTTTGGTGTGAAAAAGCATCTCTTACTTTTGACATGAAGAAAGCAATTAACTCAGTGTTATATCAAACAAATCAAAGAGCTGAGGTCAGTCAATAAATGAGGTTTTAAAAACATGTTAGTACAGGATGTAATTGATATAGAGATCTTATATCTATCAGTGCGCAGTTGATACAGATCTTGTACCTATTGACATCTTTTTCTTCTTCGCGTTCACTGGCTGTAAACTCCGGCAGACAGTTATGGTTGCTCACCCACTTCTGAACTTGAGTCTTGTACCAGAAGTTGATTGTTGTGTGGACATCTATTTTTACAGATGTGGCTTAGTTGTGTGCAGACTGTTGGTTGCTTCTCTTGCAGGCCTCATTAGTCAGCTCTTACAAAATGATCGGCAGGCAGTGGGCCTTTACTTGTTTTCCCACAGTTGGGCTCCAGAACCTAAAAGAGGAGTACCTACTGCCACAGGAAGAGCATGCACTTGTGCTATGCATGATTTCTAAGTGATTCTATGAGCATGCTTAAGAAGACATAGACAAGATAAATTTGAAGAAAATGGTTGGAGTCACTAAGAAAGTTTCATCTGAAAGGAATCAGTTTCATTTTTGTGCCAGGTCACTCTGGGGTAAGAGGGAATGAACAAGCAGATTTGCTTGCTGGCAGGGCCCCGGTAGGTACAGGAAAAGCAATGGACCGGGCTGATATTTTCAATACTCTCAAGGAGGCAGGACAAGAAGATGATTCAGGAGACGGCCTTGAATCGGCAACACTCAAAAGACTACAAGACCTTCAGGTCAAAAGAGGTGTCGCCAAACATAAACACTATACAGGTAGCCAAAGAGGAATATGTAAACCAACACAGAACTGATGTTATCAGCCGCCACAAGCTGAGGGATATACTGATGATGGGAGCCAAGCGCTTAAAGACTTGTCTGGTGTGCAATAAGGATAAACTTTTGATTAAATAACTAACTAACATCAGGAAGAGGTCATTTTTACCTGGGCACATCTGCACAAACTTTGGGCATCGAGGAATGAGAAAATGTACAGTGTGATAACTCGTGGCAGAAACCGGGTGAAGTCTTCTTTGTTACATGGTATACGACTGTCAATGAGTTCCCTGGCATATTCTAGCTGTTTTCGCTGACTAACTACCACCAGCTCCTCAAACAGCTTCTTTCGCTGGTTGTCATTCCATTTGAGGAACTGCAAAGAAAAGAATTAAATCTGTTCCTGGTTCTCGGAGCTCAACTTCATTTTATTTTCTGATAATGCCAGAACATTTTATCTGATAATGCCTAAACATTATCTCTGATATGACTAAACATTCTATCTGATATGACTGAACATTATCTCTGATATGCCTAAACATTCTTTCTGATATGACTTAACATTATATCTGATATGACTGAAATTTTATCTGATAATGTCTAAACATTCTATCTGATAATGCCTGAACATTTTATCTGATATGACTGAACATTTTATCTGATAATGCCTAAACATTCTATCTGATATGACTGAACTATATCTCTGATATGTCTAAACATTCTATCTGATATGACTGAACATAATCTCTGATATGTCTAAACATTATCTCTGATATGACTGCTCAAGTAAACATTCTCTCTAATATGACTGCTCACTTGAACATTATCTCATATGTGACTACTTAGTTAAACATTCTCTCTAATATGACTGCTCACTTGAACATTATCTCATATGTGACTACTTAGTTAAACATTCTCTCTAATATGACTGCTCACTTGAACATTATCTCTAATATGACTGCTCACTTGAAAATAATCTATTATATGACTGCTCACTTGAAAATAATCTATTATATGACTACTTACTTAAACAAATAACTTCTCACTTGAACATTATCTCATATGTGACTACTTAATTAAACATTCTCTCTAATATGACTGCTCACTTAAACATTCTCTCTAATATGACTGCTCACTTGAACATTATCTCATATATGACTACTTAGTTAAACATTCTCTCTAATATGACTTCTCACTTGAACATTATCTCATATGTGACTACTTAATTAAACATTCTCTCTAATATGACTGCTCACTTAAACATTCTCTCTAATATGACTGCTCACTTGAACATTATCTCATATATGACTACTTAGTTAAACATTCTCTCTAATATGACTTCTCACTTGAACATTATCTCATATGTGACTACTTAATTAAACATTCTCTCTAATATGACTGCTCACTTGAACATTCTCTCTAATATGACAGCTCACTTGAACATTATTTCATATGTGACTACTTAATTAAACATTCTCTCTAATATGACTGCTCACTTAAACATTATCTCATATGTGACTACTTAATTAAACATACTCTCTAATATGACTGCTCACTTGAACATTCTCTCTAATATGACTGCTCACTTGAACATTATCTCATATGTGACTACTTAGTTGAACATTCTCTCTAATATGACTGCTCACTTGAAAATTATCTATTATATGACTGCTCACTTTAAAAAAACTGATAATCATGCATGAGCATTGTTCATGATGGTGAAATGCTTCAGTAAAATCCATTTTCCTCTTTGGTGTTCATTACTGACATGGTTGAGAAAGTCTTTTCACACAAAAAGTAAGCTAAAAAAAAAAAAACATGAGACGACAGACCTTTCTTGAGGGATCACTAGGAGATGCCCACAGACCACTGGCTGCAGACCACTGGCTAGAGGCTGGTGAAATCATTTCAGCTTGCAACCTTTGACACCTACCACCTGATTTCCATGGTGGGCAGTTTATAAAAAGACTGTTCTCATGGCTTTCAGACAGTGGTATGAGAGTTGCACAATGGAAGAGGTTGGCGCCTCACTATGTAATATCCCATAGTTAGCTGTAAACACAATGCAGCCAACCTCCATTGTGGAGACAGCACGTTGTTTTTTTCTTTCGAAACAGAGGACATCAGGTAACTCAATTAACAATCTTCCCGTTTTTAGGCAGTTTATATAATATCAGCAACTATCAAGTGACAAAAAGGCATAGATCAGTATCTTAAAAAAAAAATGAAAAAAAATACCAAGGCTAACAATTTCTTACCCATTTTTTTACAAGCTTAGTTCTCTCTTCAAAAATCTGCAATAAACATGGACAAGATAGCTGAACAAACTATGGAAAAAAGTATACAAACATATGGATAAGATGTCAGAGCAGTCTGTGGAAATAATAACATCAGTATATAGACAAGCTACATCACAGATTAGTGTCCAACATGATCCCGAGTGCATTGATGTTGATTATAATAACACAGCCTAACATAATGTACAGAGTGCATTGCATATATAGCACAGGAAATTGAAGATTCTTTCCAGAAAAAATACAAACTGTTAGCTACTTTCTTCGACCTGACTAAAACCTTTGATAAGGTCTGGAAGAAAGGACTCTTGTTAAAACTACCACACAGTGGGATAAAATGGCATATGTTTGCCTGGATTATAGACTTTCGTTACAGACGCTGCGCAACAGTCAGACTAGAAGAGTACAAGAGCAAATTGGTCAGGTTACAAGAAGGTGTTGCCCATTGAGGAGTTATATCTCCTACCCTGTTTATTCTTTTCATCAATGACCTCCCAAAACAATTCACGACTCACATTCACCAGGCCTTACTTGCAGATGACCTGGCCATATGGACCCAGGCTGAACATATAGGAATAACTAAAACAGGAATGCAGGCAGCTATAAATACAGTTAAGAAATGGATAGACTCTGTGGGAGTCACAATGGGCCAGACCAAAACCGTCTAGACTCTCTTCTTTCTTTCCTCAAAGCTAGAACAAGATGATCTGTACCTAGATGGCAACATCCTTCCAAAAGAGGAGAACCCCATATACCCCATATATTTGGGAGGAAAATTTGACAGAAGACTACCCTGAGGCTCCCACATTGAAGACACCCAAGCGAGAGCTACCCTGATATTCAGACTTGTGAAGAGACTTGCTGGGCTGGGATGCCGATGCCAACACTGTGCCATGGGTGTGCGCGAGTTACGTGCAACTAAAACTGGAGTATGGCATGGGAGCATACTCCACTGCAGCCGGGTGAAGTCTATATGGAGGGACAAGATACAGAACACTGGTTTTGGGGTTATCACTTGAGGTGTGAGAAGCACACCAATCAATGAGCCGGAGGCAACTTCTGGCCTCCAGAGTTTGAGCCTTTGAAGAGAAGAAAAGGTGCTTACCCTAACATAAAATTTAAACGCATGAATTAAAACCCTGTGCATAGGGTGGCAAACGATTAAAATTGATCGCGTGAGCAACTGCTGATCTGTTGATGACTTCTGCTACCATCCATGATGAACTGCATTTCTAATGTCGGACTGTTTGTGTTAGCACTTCGGATGGCTGCTGTATGCTTTTAATGCGTGCGCTATGCTAGTGCATATGCTGAGTCAGCAGTCTGTCAATCTTTCCACAAGGGACTGTGATAAACATTCTGCGTCTTTTTCATTGGCACAAGAGCAGAGCAACTATGGGGTGACCCATTTGCTTTGAAGCTGAAACTAAGATTACCAGAGTACCTGCAGCTTTGAAGAAACCTGGCCTCAAGAGCAAAGTGAAGGACCTGCAGCTGACGTGCGAGTTTATGAGTTTTTAGGGGCAACCCACCTAATAGTTTGATATGAGCATACGAAACCAAACAAAAAAGAAGAAGAAAAAGAATTCTTTTAAAAGTTTGCACTCAAAAATTAAAAACAAAATTTTCTAAACGTAAGTTAAAATGAATGCCAAACTTAATTTTACTGGACTTCAGAGTGTAAGAAAGATGTGGGAAAGTTATTTAAAGGTATATTTACCTCATAGAAAGCTAACTAAAATAATGTGAAACATGCACAATATCTCTTCTGACATACTTTATGTATTCAACTAAATATACAGAGAAAACACATTAGTTGTCCATTCAGCAGATTTTTTCTATCTATTAATAATCAACAATTTTTTATTAAGCATCTGCAAAAGTTGGGTTAATTTTAGGACACACTTTTCTTATATTTTATTTGATGTCACGCTACTTCTGGTGTAAGACAAATTTCATTTTAGCGTAATGCCTATAATCAGCTAGTATTTTTTTTCACTCACTGTGCCCTGCCCTCATTATCCTAGACTTTTCGGTATGCATTGGACTTATAAGTCACCTCTGGTCTCACAAACATTCAATTATGATGGATGAAAGAAAGAGTGGTCCTTATCACTTGTGATGGATGAACATCATATTTTCCCCCGGTCCTTAAGGAAGTCAATAGAAGCTTTTGAGCTGAAATGCTATAGAAAGATTCTCAGAATACTATGGATAAAGAAGAGGAGAAATACAGACATTTTAAAAGACCTGATCATCAAGAAGTTGTAATATTTTGGTCATATTAAAAAAAAAAAAAATAGCAAAAGGCATGTACCAGGAAGGAGGGACAGGAGCTGACCGGTATAATGATGGGCATAGGGTAAAGGTTACTCCTTGAATAAGAAAGTACATGAGGCGGGAGAGTTGGGGAGAGACCAAGTTTCTTTCACAGACCAGGATGAGAGAGACGTTCTGCAAAGGACCTGCTACATGATGAATGAGTTTTTACATGCTGTACCATTAAAGCTAAGCGTTGCGCGCGCGCGCACACACACACACACACACAAGCAAAAAAAAGCAATTATACAGGAAAAAAAGTGATCATAAGTTATAATGCACATACTTTTTTATTAGTCTCTTCATTACTCAGCGGTGTCCAGGCGCTATGGATGCGGTTTTTGGCAATCATCGAGTTCGACATTATTCAATAATAATTAGCCCAATAATCAACTGCTAGAAAGAATTAGAATGTCCTACTTGTAATTAAGTAAATATTTTAAATATGTAGTGTATTAGCATTCAACTTTAGACTCATGTCTGTCGTCAACTAACGTATTAAGAAAATAAAGTTTGAAATATCCTCCGTAAGATGACAGTGAAAATGCGGCAACGTTTTGTCTTGGGGAGTTGGCAATGTTTGGAAGATCGTCTGCTGATTATTCCCCAGTCGCCATTTTGACACAAACCGGTTGCCCTGGAAGACATAGCACAGTCATTACTTTATTATAATATTTATTATTTACATCATAATTATAAATGTTGTATTAATTTCATTGGTTTAGAATAGAGTTATTACAATTTTAATTAGTTTTAACAAAGTAACGTTTGGTTGGAGATGGAGAGAGAAGTACAGCGGGCAGACCAACATGGCCGCGAGTCAGTGAGAAATTTTCTTTACTGTTTGCCAAACTACAATAGCTCTTAGATGCATTATTTCTGAAGACATACAGCTCATCTTGGTGATTTAAGCAGGTTTGTTGCTTGTTCAGTCAAATATTGCAAGAATTATGTTTTCTAGCTAAGGTACAAATGACAGTCATGCGATGTATGTATCATTAAGTTGAATATCGCCGTTATTTTTTCAGCGTGTCCCGGACACTGTCCGTCTCACTACTGTGACTCACTGTCTCAGTTTCGCCAGAATGCCGTAAAAAAATTGACGAGAATAACTCACCAAATAAACTGCTGCTAATTACAGTTGAAATGTACTCAGCATTGATAACGTGAAAGTAACAGTAAAAACTTATAGGTAAAGATGAAAAGAGGAAATTAGCAGCCGTTGTGCGAGAACAGTCATAGGTACTTTAGCCAAATTTTCAAAATGCCCTCTACACCAATAAAACCAGCACAGTTAGATAGCAGTAAACAATCTCTTTCCAACGGTACCTCATTTAGGCTTGTATGTCATTTCTGAGCTGAGATATGTAGGTTTTTGTGGAGATGAGATGTAGAAACTAAAGCAGCTAAAATGAAAACTTGCGTCTTAAAAACAAGGTTTTCTCTGCGCAACCAAACTGCGCACTTATCGTTTTGGCTTTGTTTACATTGGACTGTCATTGGACAAGATGGCAGACAATGAGACACAGCCACTGGCTGAGCCAGCGATTGCCTGAAAAATGTCACTGTACATCTACCTAGTCACGGTTCAGAAAGAAATTTTATACACAAATGTAAAATTGGACGGAGAATTCAATTATAACTAGCATTACCAGGACCAGTAACAGTTAAAGCCTAAAGCCAACCCTGAATACTTATCGCTATACTCAATCAAACTGATGTAACAGAAAAACAGAGGACGTCCGGCTGTCGTACACATGCGCTGTTAATCGGGTTCCTTCCCGCCGTTTTCAGCTTTTTATAGTAGGTGAAAATTACACCAATCGCAAAATTTCATGACAGATTAGGACCCATCCCGAAACCCCAGCCGATATTTGCGAAGCAATTTTCGAACGGTTTCCATGGTAACGGAAATTGCCAAAAGACCGCCAATTGCCGAACCCCGTAGTCGCTAATATAATCATAGCTCATAGTTGTAATAGTACTATTAATAATATGCATATGATAACTTGCAATTACGTTCATTAAACTTAAACTAAATGGAAGTTTTCTTGTAAAACCAATATTTACCATTAATTATACTAATACAGTGCAGACTGTTTAAAGCGATGTGGCAAATTTATGTTGTAAGAAAAATTGGCGCTCCTTTGAATCATTCCCCAAAATGGCGGCATGCCACATTCTGGCCATAAAATATCCGAACGACGGTGTTCGCGTATATCTAAAATACGGACTTTCTGCCAAGGAACAAACCGCGGCAAAACTAGGATTACTTGACAATCAAATCAACATTTGCACACGGTACTAGTAGCAGACGATAAATACCGACCGTTGACAACAATTTCGAGCGTTTCCGCAGACGATACTAGCAGACGATATTAGCGACCGTTGACCAATTTCGAGACATTACAGACGATGAAAGCCGATTAGCAATACTGTGTTTTTCAGATTGGAGGATTTAGCAGCGGTAGATGTCAGACTTGTTGGCATGCGCCAAACGCGATTAAACTCATCGCCGAGCGTATACCCCCGGATGGGGGCTAAACTAGGTGCCTGGGACTCACGAGTACAGTAATTGGAGGAAGTTGGAGGAGATGCGGTAGCTGTCGCTCGTGAGTCCCAGCCATCTAGTTTAGCCCCCATCCGCGGCGTGGGGGATACGCTCGGCGGTGAGGCACACTCGCAGAAGCAGGTCGGCAAGCAACGTATCGCTGAGACCCTGTCAGAGCATTTGTTTCGTTATCCGGAGCCAGCACATATATTTTTAATAGAACTGACCCGCATTCGGATATTTTTGGATATTTTATGGCCAGAAATTGGCCAATTTAGCTCTTTTTCAAACGCCATCATATTAAAGCCGCCATTTTGGGGAACGATTCAAAGGAGAGCCGAAAAATTTGTTTATCATAAAAAAAACTGGGCTATCCTCCGAATAACGGGCACAAAAAATGGCGGCCAAAAACAGGGCCTCACTCACGTGTCAATTGCGCACTTCCGGCGACTACCGCCACCGCTGAGAGTATCCCCACGCCGCGTGAGCGGCATGGATTAGGGCTAAACTAGATGGCTGGGACTCACGAGCAGCAGCTTCTGCATCTCCTGCAGCTTTGCTCGTGAGTCCTTGCCATGTAGTTATGCCCCAATCAACGCCGCGTGAGCGGCATGGGGGATACTCTTGGCCATGGCGGTAGTCGCCAGAAAACCACAAATTAAGTCGTAGGAAGTGCGCAATTGACACATGACTGAGGTCCTGTGTTTGGCCGCCATCTTTTGTGTCTGTTATTCGGAGGATAGCCAAAATCTGGCTCTCCTTCAATCCCCCCCTCCCCCCGCATTTTGCATAGGACTGAGGCCCTGTTAGGGTATTTGTTTGGCCGCCATAATATGGGGGCGGGGGGAGATAGAAGGATAGCCAAAAAATGTTATAATAGTTTCGTAGTATCAAAGTTTATGTTCCCGGGCAATTTTTCTTGCTTGAAATTGAACATTTATGATAAGAGGAATTTCGGATAAGAAAATGAATAAGAATAATAATTTTCAAGTTTATTGGGTCCTTGATGAGTTTTTTGGCTATCTTCCCAATAACGGTCCCAAATTATCAAGACAGAAAATATACCCTAACAGAGCCCCAGTCACCTGTCAGTTTTGCACTTCCGGCAACTTAAATTGCGCACTTTCGGCGACTTGCGCCACCGCCGAGAGTATCCCCCCCCACGCTGCTTGCGCGGCGTGGATTGGGGCTAAACTAGATGGCTGGGACTCACGAGCAGCAGCTATCCCATTTCTTGCAGCTGCCTTCATTTTATTTGCTCGTGAGTCCCAGCGCAATTGACACGTGACTGAGGCTTTGTTAGGGTATATTTTCTGCCTCGATAATTTGGGACCGTTATTGGAAGATAGCCATTTTTTTATCAGGTCTGCACTGTACTACTTCACACCTTAATTTGTTTTGAATAATCCCACTTGTAACTTTTAACAGACCTGTCAGTTTGTGATTGTAAATGCCAGCTTTTCAAGCTAAAATAAAAAGTATCTAGTAGCCTAAATTGTTTCTGCAATGAAAATTTAAATTTCAGAGCATCAGTATAAAATACAGTGTATGAAGTATGCAACACAGGTGGTTGCACCTCTGTATATGTCGCTAATGACGCAGGCGGTTCGAAGTCCATAGACACAACAAATCACCGACAATGAAGGCTGCCTAGTTATGCGAAGGATCGGTGATCCCTGAAAAATTTTACATTTTTATACTGATTACTATAAAAAAAACCTGCCAATTGATACTGGCTGTTTAAGTTTAGAAAAGATGGCAAACATGCTTGATCGCTTTAGCAGACGTCAGACAGCAAGTGTTTAGAAAAAAGACATTAGCTTAGCTCAGTGAAAAATATTTCATTATTTGGAACCGGATTAATTACATTTCTGCAATAACTCTTATTTTAGGCTTTTTGCGATCTCTGTTGTGGTAATAATGAATTCTGCATCAGTATTTACATAGTTATAAAGTTAAAGTTCACAATTTTGACTTTTTTTTTTTCTTCCCAAAATTGAATTTTTTCATGAATAAGTCTTGTAGAATTAGTTGAATTAGCAAATTGAAACAAAATGTCAGAGAATGCAAAATCGTGTCAGTTGTATACTGATTGAAAATGCTAATTATCTGGGCAAATAAATCTTCACATAATACAATTTTAAATTGAAATAGTAATTTATCTTTTTAATTTTAATACTTTTAATAAATTTAAATAGCTCAGAATATCATTTAGATGAGTTTTCTGACATGCCTAATGGCTGAATATTTTTTTCAGATTTTTGTGTTGATGCTGGACACAGATGGTGATTTAATAAAACAAATTATTGCAATTTATTGAATGCCAACATGCCAATGGTATATTTACCACAGTGAACATATACTGAGGTGCCACTGTATTTCTGTCTTCTCACATAACTCGGCAAAGTATAGAAAACTACTAGCCATAGTTACTATGAAAAATTATACCCAATGCAACCCAAGTGTGTACAAGTTATTTCAAACTTCATATTCACAACAGACCGGTTAATGCACAGTTGTAATATTCCTGTGCTAGAGAAAATCACACAAAATGCACCCCATTGGCCATTTGAAAACTGATCAGTCCTAGCAATATCCTTGAACTCCAATATGTAAAGTAATTGCATTAAGCAGAAGCCAGATGTGCCAGTACTGCCTTCCTGCCACTAGAATTGCAGTTTTTTGCTGGTGAAAACAGTCAGTCACAACAGATCGGCATATAAACACTCAAAACTGCATAAGCTGCATGCCAGTCCGGACATCCCCCCCCCTTTCCCAATTGTAATTGTTGTTCACAACCTAATGTTGGCAAA